CTTAAATTATGTCACCTTTCCTAATGCCGGACAAGTTAATTTATGTGTAGCTAGATTTTGCCCATGTTTCATGTTGACATATTTAGATGCAATTTTCCCTAACACTCCCTACTTTAAGTCCTTTAATATTGAACTGTGACGTCTCATGCTAGACAATTTTACTTATCGACTGCATGGACTCATTTTAACACCTATTAACACCGAAGAAACAATTTCCTCTTAAATGTTGCCTACTTTCGGTTCTTTCTAGGGGTGTGCAGGACAGAGTATTTCTGCTGTCCAGCCAGATACAAAATATGCTGGATGGCTGAAAAATATCCAGCCCGATTAAGGGTATTATTCAAATAATTATATAAGGTTCAGGCATCATTTAAGGTTAAGTACTGGTAATAATTTTATTTGGTTAAAAAGTAAACAGTCTAAAACTAGTAAACCTGCATCATTGGTAGCAAACCTGCATCGTTGGTAGCAAACATGCATCATTGGTAACAAAAGCCTGTTTACATCAGTTAAAAGTTCAAATCCCCATTTACTGTACAAACAAGCATTGAAAATACTGATCATATTTATCATATTTTTACTTCAATGATCATGATATGATAACCTTATCAAATCATTTTCTAACCTGAAAAGAAGGCCTGAACCCTATATGAATAATATCCGGCATTGGGTAGCCGGATACCAGATAATGAATTAAAATCTTAATATCCGGCCAGATACAGTATCAGTCCATTGCATCCTATGTCTTGAAATGCCAAACAAATTAACTTGTTAAATGACTGTATATTGATATTCAATATACTTAGCTAATATATGCACCCTTTTATTGTTAACCCTTTGAGCAGCAATGTGCCCAAGTGCACCCTACTTTGTTATGTTGCACTTAACTAACACCAGACATTTTACTTTGTGAAATGCCAGACAATTTTACTCCTCAAGAGCAGTGTCCTGCTCACTAATGGTTATCCAAACTATCTGCCAATGTGCCTTGATAACCCATTAGGCCGAAATGCACCCAAATGGACCCGCCTTTGTTATTTTACTCTGTCAAACGCCGGACAATTTTAGTCATCAAGAAGAGAGTCCTGCATGCTAGTGGGTTAAATGACTTAATTACATATGTTATATATAAACTTAAGCTGTTAGATTGTCCCATTGTATATTAATTTTTACTTATCTTGACACAGGCTTGTATGTTGGATTGATACGACTACCTGTAAATATGGTTAAACTTGGCTATGTGATTCAAAGGTTGTGGTTCACCGAGCGATAAAGAAAATGATACAAAGATGGAATGATTGGATGCAAGTTATCAGTTACAGTGTTTCATATGACAGGTATTCTGATTGTGGAAGATGTGGGCTTGCAATATTTTGACAATTGCATGGCTGTAAAGTACGAGACAATTAATATAGTACTCCATTACTCTAATTGCCAGAACACTGCATCAGAATGAGAAGTTGTCTGTTACAGTTAGGTTTAGTAAAAGTATAGTAAAAGTACATAGTCAACTATGTAAAATGTAATTTAGTCAGTGTCAAATAAATATTTTGTCATGGATAAACTCTGTGCAAATGAGCATGTCTCTAATGTCATTTTACTTTTAATAAGAATATGTAGATGTGTTTTCTAATACACCTCCTTAGGTTTGCTGTGTTATTATAGCATCTTTTGTAGGTGTGTTATGTAACACACCTTAGTGTGTTATGAAACACACCTTACAACGTGCTGTAAACATTACAGACCTGAATGGTGTGTTATACAGCACAGCTTTAGGTGTGTTTTAAAACACGCCATGGTGTGTATGAAAACACGCCATGGTGTGTATGAAAACACGCCATGGTGTGTACGAAAACACGCCATGGTGTGTTCAAAAACACACCTTTATACAAAACACACCTTAAGGTGTGTTAAAATCTGGACAAGCCGAAAACACACCTTAAGGTGGGTTTTAGAACACACCTTAAGGTGTGTTTAACACACCTTAAGGTGTGTTAAACACACCTTAAGCTGTGTTACAAAACACGCCAAAAGCTGTGTTAAACACACCTTAAGGTGTGTTTTAAAACCCACCTTAAGGTGTGTTAAAATTTGGACAAAAAGGTGTGTTAAATTAACACACCTTTCTTTAGAGTGTAAGACATGTATTTAAGTTATTAACGTACAGTATGGTTTGTTTACGCTGTCATCACTTTACAAGGAAACTACAAATTATACTGTTTTGCAACAAACGCGCCAAATTAGAATCATCAGTGTCTGGTGTACGTAACTGGCTTGGCGAATGCATGACAAAAGATGCGGTAATGTATTACCGTGTATATTCGCATTGTTTGGATCGAGCCAGATAGAAATTGGTACGCTTATAATTACTGCTTGCCCGGTTCAAGCATATCAAATAGGAATAATGGCAATAAATATATATTGCGATGTTTCCCGTACGAATTCAAGCGGGTCAATATAAAAGACCTAAGCTTCAGAATTACAATGGTAATCCGGTGCCATACCGTTGGTTTAATGCTCGACGGAAAATCGCCGAAGCTTACGTTGTCTCGTCATTCGGTATCTTAACATTCGCGATGAGAAAGCGCAGTTAGCGCACACTTGACGGTGCGTGGCTACAGTCCAGCGTATTCCAGCATATACGCCAAATGGTCAACGCGTTCCCGCTTGAAGATTCAAATTGGCGCCAACACAACACCATGCAAGCGTTTATTCTCTGAAGAACAACAAAAGGGACGAAACGGCGCGAATGATTGAGGACATAATGCTCTAAGAGAACAGATTGAAAGACGAACAAAAAACGTATACAAAGTTTTGAAACTGCTTAATTCTCGCATATACGAACGCGAATGGTCTTCACCTTATTGGGAGTGTTCAGAGTGATGTATATTGGTATGATTAAACAATTTTCATAGTTCTGGAAAACCTACAGTAAGTAAATAATTACATGCAGTAACTCATGCCAAAATGAGTCAAGAAGGGTAGGTTTATGTCAGTCTCTGCAACTCGATCTCGATGTTTTGCAAAGTACATGGCTCAAAATATTGACCGAAAGCTCTCGAATGCACTTACATGATACTGTATTAAATAATCTAAATTCCAATGGAATTTGAGTTGCTAACATAACGTTGCGATAAATACAATATGACATTGCTTTGCTATAATGCACAATCTATTGCACGACCTTGCATGATGACAATTAAGTTTATTTGTTCCAAATACTTTTAAGCTGATATACTCTTGTGTCAGAAAGATGCGTCATCTTATGCTGACAGATTTTGAAGATGCTTCATCTTACCTTAATCAGTAATTGAAGCTTAAAAGTATTTGAAGTAAATAGGCATACGGAACTACGGTTTCTAAATTGAAATGGAATTTGAGTTGCTAACAGCCTAACATAATGTTGCGATAAATACAATATGACATTGCTTTGCTATAATGTACAATCTACTGCATGATCTTGCATGATGACAAATTTATTTGTTCCAAATACTTTTAAGCTGATATACTCTTGTGTCAGAAAGATGCGTCATCTTATGCTGACAGATTTTGAAGATGCTTCATCTTACCTTAATCAGTAATTGAAGGTTAAAAGTATTTGAATAAATAGGCATATGGAACTACGGTTTCTAAATAGAAGTGGAATTTGAGTTGCTAACATAATGTTGCGATAAATAGAATATGACATTGCTTTGCTCTCATGCACAATCTGCTGCATGATCTTGCATGATGACAAGTTTATTTGTTCCAAATACTTTTAAGCTGATATACTCTTGTGTCAGAAAGATGCGTCATCTTATGCTGACAGATTTTGAAGATGCTTCATCTTACCTTAATCAGTAATTGAAGCTTAAAAGTATTTGAATAAATAGGCATATGGAACTACGGTTTCTAAATTGAAGTGGAATTTGAGTTGCTAACATAATGTTGCGATAAATAGAATATGACATTGCTTTGCTCTAATGCACAATCTACTGCATGATCTTGCATGATGACAAGTTTATTTGTTCCAAATACTTTTAAGCTGATATACTCTTGTGTCAGAAAGATGCGTCATCTTATGCTGACAGATTTTGAAGATGCTTCATCTTACCTTAATCAGTAATTAAAGCTTAAAAGTATTTGAATAAATAAGCATATGGAAAAGCATGCGCATATTGCATCTGAAATAATAGAAGGCAAGTCAAAACAGTCACCAGCAAGCGATGCCGATGTTTATGCTTTAGAGAGAGTTGTTTTAATATAAAGGTTGGGGAGTTTTGTAAGTGCGAATAGATTATCGTGCTAAGCAAATCATGTCTCAACGATATAGTGAAATACTGAAAAAAACAGTTACTGAGACACCATCACAAAATTAACGCACAACTTTATCTGATATATAGGCACATGGTAAACACTTGATACATGTAGAACAGAATAATTCATAGATCTTTGACTTTGTTACAATATGTCATTCTGGGTACCATATGCTGCTACGTTGAGGGCATCAGAAGGCGAAAAAGCGCAACATTTACACGTGTTATTGCTTCCCGCAATAAATGTCATACAATAAATCAGAAGTTGTTATCACTCAGAAGATCCAAAACACCTTCAATCTGTACCTTTAATCAATAACAATATTAATAACAGGTTTCGTCAGAGCTCCTACAGAGATCAGCAATATCATGTAGCGAAAAATCTCAGTAAATTTATGCACTTCACCTGGATTGGTGACAGTTATGAGCTAATGCGTTTCCGGAGATTCGTGTTTTTAAAACACAAAGTTTGCATAATTAAGGCAGTGCGGTTCGTCATGCACTTCCCTATACCTATGTATTCCCTCTTTTGATTCGGGTTGTTGACCCATCTCTAGGTTGGCGTTAACTATACCCTGTTCGGCAACGTCCCTACCCCCTTGCATAATTTTGCGTCTTCCGGGATCTGTTTCAAGTTCTATATTTTCCTCCTGTTTGTCCTTTTCTGCTTTTGGAGCCTTAATCCGAATATAGAGAGGTTCCTTATGGACGGTTATTCCCGCAAATTCCCTTCGTTTCTGTGTTGTTATTTCCTCCTCACTTTCAAGCTTTTCGCGTGTTCTATAAGGTTATTGTAATAACTCCGAATACGAGATGGCGGTATGTCATATGTATTGAATTCCTCATTCAACTTATTTATACTATCTACAGCGCATGTAACCCAAACATATATCGTTACACCTCCTTTCTATGTCTAATTAAGCTAAGTTATTAAAGTTTTAAATATGAAAAATCTCCATAAGTGTTAATAAGCTACTAGATTACTATTAAAGTTTTAAATATGAAAAATGCCCATCAATGTCAATAAGCTACTTGTTTCTAAGATGTCAATTAACGGCTATAATTTTTTTGTTCGTTTTTTTTTAAACCATTAAGATAATATACATTATAATGAATTAAACTGATGTACTAGACAAAATCAAGACATATACCTGGCATGTCTTCTGATGACTCTGCCACTAACTTTACTTGCAACTGGTGATTTCACTAATGTCCCATTAATTTCTTCTTGTATGCTACTGACACTTGTTTAAATTTGCTTCTCACCATATACTCCCACTGTATCATACTCACTATAAACAGGTTCTTCCATGTATATTGTACTGGTCTTCTCTGGACTTGAACGAATTTCTACTGAAGTCTTTAGTATATGTTTTCTATTCCTCCGGTATTCTTTGTTATTAGCGGTCTCAGCAAACGATCTAGGTTCTCATTGTTTAGATTCTCCCACTAACCTGGCTGGTTCCCAGGTGTTTCCGCATCTCATCCTCACACTATCTCCCTCCTGTAACGGTGTTAAAGTTTTACTTCCTCGGTCAAAATATTTCTTCTGGATTTTTTGCTTCTCTGTTAATGATTGTTGAACCTTTTCTCCATCATATGCCATTGGCTTTAACAAGAACTGCTATGTAGGTGTAAGTGTTTTACCACGACGGCCGATTAAAAGTTGCATCGGTGATAAACCAACTCCTTTATATTGGAGTATTTCGCAATTCCAAAAGTGCTAAATGAGGATCGCTCCCATCATCACTCACGGTGGTTGGTTGCTATGCATTTTGCTCCCGGGACCGCGGGCTTCGTTTTTTCCAGCGGTGTTGGTGTGAATGCGAAATGGCGTTGTTTATTAACCTTATAATCGGAAAGGTCATGTATTTGGCTTAAACTTTCTTGCAGTTAAAACAAATTTGTTGGTATATTTTAACTGATTTATAAACTTCCATATTTAAATGGAACGATTGTGATAATTTTATTTAGCTGTCAAATAACCGGTCGGAACTATTAACTGCCGTCGAATACGTCTAGCCTGCGCCGCATGCAGACAATATATTATATTTGCTCCCGTATAGTTTATATTTCATAATACGGAACGCAACCCAATGTACAAACTGTTCCTCTTTTCGCCTAGACTCGTGTTTCTTCATCAGTATATGCAGGTAATTTGGGGGAAATTATCTGATGCTGCTAATACATAACATATATCGATTTAAAGTAATATATCGACAGCCGGACAGAGAAACATACTGACTGTTCAGGTTAGTCGCGTCAAAAACCTAGCTATACTATAGTTCTCGCAAGAATATTTGTTTGTTGAATATGTTCTATTATAAAATGCTTTTATATTATATTTGTCTACAATGTATTTTTGAGATATTCATATATAAACACATAGTTCCATTTGACAATATATATAGCAGATTTAGGCTGGGATTACACTATACCGGATTGATTTTCATACCGGATCAATTTTCACACCGAAGCCAAAATTAAGGGTGTTTACACTATGCCGCTTCGCTCTGTCGTCAGCTCGTATCTTTTCTCGTTGCCACGGGAACAAATAATAAGTTTTGACCATTTTGGACGTTTTCTCGACAGTACTTGTGAATTATAACTTTGTTTACAAAGCTTGACCACCCAACGTTGCTTTGTCTCGCTCTTATCGAAAATTGACGAGTATTTCATTAAATTTTGCCCTTTTGAAAGCAAGAAGTCAATGTTATTACCGTTATCTTTATTTGTCTTCGCTAGAAATAACAAGACGCCTACTCAGGCGTTCACACTGACCTGAAAATGATGATATGCGTGCTATGGTGCAATCTCGTTTCCTGAGCCTGCGGTCGTTGGGAAGGAAACGAAGGCTCTGGGATAATCCGTTTCAGGGAGGAATCTGATTGGCCGTTGATATGGAATGTACAGTTCAATCTTAGCCAGAATTCCTGGCTTTCGGCAACGGATTATCCAAGAACCTTCGTTTCCTTCCCGAGGATCGCAGGCTCGGGGAACGAGATTGGCTATGGTGTAATAGACAAGGGAATGGGAAGCAAGAG